ATAACAACTTATTCTGTGTTGTTCTAATAAAAACCATTGTTTTTGATATGCATATATTTTAATTTTATTCTTTGTTAAAATGTGTACCTGAAATACTGAAATCTTTCAGATCAGCTAACAATACCTTTATAACTTGTATAGCCAAGTGTTCTATCTATTTTTGTTCAGATTAAACAAATAATGGATAAAATATTAGATAAGATTTTTTCAAAAAATATGAGCTTGCCTGTTTTCAAAGCATAAATTAATTATTTTTAATTTAAAACCTTTGGAATGCACAGCTTAATGCTTTCCACTAAATATTACAAAGTTTTCGTTCATTAAAATGTTGTTTTATCAGCTTTAAAACCAGATAAATCCACGAAACACTCCTAATATACGTCGCCATATTGATTTTTTGCGCGCATGCTCAGACAAATTGCCTACCTGTTCCTAGTCCCTAGGCCTCTTAGCACGGAGAGGACTAGGCTGAGTAAAAATTCAACGCTCTGCCGAAAGTCGTGGGTTTTCTCCGGTACTCCGGTTTCCTCCCACAGGGAAAGTTGACAGGGTGGGTTAGATAAAAGAGTCCACAGTAATTGGCATATGCTGTTGTGGTGACCCTGCCCTAGTTGGCAAAGCTAAATAAATTATCCAACAGCTCATGTGACCCATGATGAATCCAAGACTGGCTTGCAAAACTGCTTTACAAAACTTGAGTTTTTTTGCAAGAAATGGAAATTAAATGAGTCAACTTTAAAAATCTAAAGTGCTATTATTTGGGCACTTATACCCGCGGGCCAAAGACGCACACATTAATTGTCATCAACTTGGTACTTTGATAACATTTTTGAACAAGTATAGACGAATAATGTTAAGTGTCTTAGGCATTTTTTCATTTTCTGGTAACTTTAAAAGGCACAGAAAGTGTTATATAATAAAACATTATGCATGTATATAGCATACTAGCCTTTTCAAATGTTTTCAAAAACTCATTAATAATTCATGAGGAAAACCAGGGTTTATTTTAACGTGCAGTTCTACACAAAATGTGCAGTTCTAAACCCATTTGTGCAGTTCTTAAAACACAAATGTGCAGTCACCAAACTAACAAAAATAGCCTTAATTAAAACAGTCTTCTCATTTACGTCGTCCAGAAAATTCCAGAAATGCTGTCATTAATTGAGCATCACAAATATAAACGTTTTCTGGGAGAGGACTCCAGACTCTCCTATTTTCCTCACAAATCACTTACCTGCTGGGGTAATGGAAAAGAAGCTAAATATTAGAGTGGGAGAACCTAATATTCTTTGCTGCCTGAAATGCAAATTTAAGGTTGTTATATATTGGCTAGTGAGTATCCATGATTCTCAGTTACATGTTTTAAAACAGTTTTTGTGAGTGGTTGGGTAAAACAAATCTTTGCCAGAACTTAAGAGCCTCTAGATTCAATTTATTTGGGGGAACACCCCCTTGCTTCCGCACCCAAAATCGAGTTTGTCTGGGGCCTTTCTCCAATTCGCCCACCCAACCACACCATTATTCTGTCACCTATATGCAGGTAAAAATCCTTCGACCCCCCCCCCCCCCCCC